TAATAGAAATGGGAATGACTGCTGGGCAGGGGAAGGGGAAAAGGCACACAGGCACATGGAAATTTCTGGGGTGACAAATATTCAAAATCTTGATTTGGGTGACATGTGGAAATATATATATATATATATATATATATAGAGAGAGAGAACCTTTAAATATATACTGTATAGAACCTTTTCAATCTTTCCTATTCAGATAAGTGAAAATGGATTCCCAGTATAGATTTTAATGTATACTTACTGTTTTTTTGTTTATATTGTTTTCTGAAGTATATTTTATTGATTATGCTATTACCGTTGTCCCATTCCCCCCCCCTTTATGTCCTTCTGACCTGCACTCCTCCTCCTTCCAGCATCCCCCCACCTTAGTTCATGTCCATGGGTTGTACATGTAAGTTCTTTGGCTTCTTCATTTCCTGTACTATTCTTAACCTCCCCTGGTCTATTTTGTACCTGCCATTTATGCTTCTTCTTCCCTGTACCTTTTCTCCCACTCTCTCCCCTCCCCCTCCCAACTGATAACCCTCCATGAGATCTCCATTTTTATGGTTCTGTTCCTGTCCTGGTTGTTTGCTTAGTTTTTTCTTTTGTGTGTGTGTGTGTGTGTGTGTGTGTGTTTAATGTTCAGTTGTTGATAGTTGTAAGTTTGTTGTCATTTTACCGTTCATAGTTTTGATGTTCTTTTTCTTAGATAAGTCCCTTTAACATTTCATATATTAAGGGCTTGGTGATGATGAACTCCTTTAACTTGACCTTATCTGGGAGGCACTTTCTCTGCCCTTCCATTCTCAATGAAGACTTTGCTGGATAGACTAATCTTGGATGTAGGTCCTTGCCTTTCATGACTTTGAATACTTCTTTCCAGCCCCTTCTTTTGAGAAGTCAACTGATAGTCTCATAGGCACTCATGGGTAACTCTCTCCCTTTCCGTTGCTGCTTTTAAGATTCCCTCCTTCTCTTTAATCTTGGGTAATGTAATTATGGTGAGTCTTGGTGTGCTCGTACTTGGATTAAACTTCTTTGGGACTCTTCAGGCTTCCTGGACTTAAACGTCTATTTATCAGATTGGGGAAGTTCTACTTCACCATTTTTTCAAATAAGTTTTCAAAGTCTTGCTCTTCCTCTTCTCCTTCTGGCATCCTTATGATTTGGATGTTGGAATGTTTAAAGTTGTCCCGGAGATTCCTAAGCCTCTCCTCATTTTTTTTTTTTAATTCTTGTTTCTTCATTCTGTTCCGATTGAATATTTATTTCTTTCTTCTGTTACAAATTGTTGATTTGAGTCCTGGTTTCCTTCCCTTCACTGCTGGTTCCCTGTGTATTTTTCTTTATTTCACTTTGTATAGTCTTCACTTCTTCCTTTATTTTACATCCATACTCAATAATTTTTGTGAGCATCCTCATTACCAGTGTTTTGAACTCTGCATCCCATAGGTTGGCAGTCTTCTCGTTGCTTAGTTCTTTCTCTGGAGTTTTGATCTGTTCTTTCATTTGGGCCGTGTTTCTTTGTCTCAGCGCACCTGTTACATTGTCAGGGGCGGAGCCTTAGGTGTTCACCAGGGCAGGCAACCAACTTCACTGTGTTACGGTGGTGTATGTGGGGGAGGGGTCAGAGAGGGAACAATGCCACATGTGTGGATCTCGCCCCACTTTCAGTCATTTCCCCCACTTCCCACAAGCTATTGGGCCCTTCTGGTGCTGATTCCAGGGTGGGTGGGTTTGTGTACATTCTAGGACCTCTCCAACAGATTCTCCTGTGAGACTGGGAGGGCTGAGCATCTCTCCATATGTTTCAAAACTGTTTCTTTTTCTACGAAATTTCTGCTCAGTTTCTATGCCCATTTTTTTCCATTGTTTGTTGGTCTTTTGAGTTGTAGGGGTAATTGCCCTTTGTTGGTGCTATGAGTTGCAAATATTTTTTCCAAGTTTTCATGTATCTTTTCAGCTTGCTTTTGGTAGTCTTTGTCATTCAGGGTTTTTTTATGCAGTCAAATGTAGATTTTTATTCAAAGCCTTATTTTGGATTATAGGCAATGATTGTAAAGGAAGATTTTGAGGGGGCAGGTTCTGTTACTCTAAATAGCCCCAGCAAACTTTAAATCTTTCTTTTTTTAATCCTCATATGAGAACGTGCTTATTGATTTTAGAGGGAAGGGGAAGAAGGGAGAGAGAGGGAGAGAAACATCAATGTGAGAGAGAAGCATTATTCAGTTGCCCATTATATGCCCCAAGTGGGCACTGAGCCCACAACCTTTTGGTATACAGGACATGCTCCAACTGAGTCACTCAGGCCAGGACAGCCCTAGCAAACTCTAAAGAGGAGTAGAACAAACAGCAGCTTGGGGACCTAAGATGAGGAAATGGTTAATTTCTTATTGGAGTAAGAGCCTCACAGTATAGCCTTCTTACTCATTCTGACCGTATATTTCAAGTATGTGCAGTTGTGTCGGGCAGAGTTCTTATTCCGAACGACAAAATCCAACTGGTTAATTTTAGCAGAAAAGGAGAACTATCGGGAAGCTCACAGAATCTAAGCAAAGGCTGGAAAATATGGCTCGGAAGATAGGTAAGATGAAGGAAACTCATAGCCGAGATCCCGTACAGGTCAGACCTGGTGAGAGCTGCCTCTGCCAGTTCCAGCACTGCCGCTAGAACCGGATCCCGAGAGCAGACTGAATGCACTGTCCCCACCTCGTGTTGTCACTTGTCGCAGATGTGTTGTGTCAGTTGCATCAGGTTCAAAGTTCCAGGGAGAAGCATTTCTTTGGCTAGGCAGTCATGAGAATTATAGACTAATGAAGCTTAAAATCCTAATTTAACCAAAAACTGGTAAGGAAATAGCTGATACAGAGTTACTTTATTTGGAGTTCTTGTTGTATTTCCCTTTCTTGTAAAATTTATAACTATTAAAGATGACCTGCTCTGAAAAAGTTTCATATTTTGTTTATTAAAAAAATATGATACTCGAATGATGAGTTTTATCAGTGTCTTTAGTCATTAGTGATTTAATTTCTAATACATGCTTAGATATGATCATTTTGGATCTGTCCATTACATTTTTAGTCTGTTGTAGGAGTGATAATGATGCATTTAGTACGTTTTTTTAAAAATTTGGTATTATTTAGCGTCTGTAGTTTCTATGGAAACAGACAACATTGACCTGGATTCTCTGAGCTTTTTTTCCAACATGCAATTGTTTCATATTGAAAGAGCCTCAGATTGTATTATTAATCCAGTTTTATTCCACAGTCTGCTACAGTGCAGCATACAATGTTCCTGTTCTATGCAATCAAGACCACAGTGTTTATGAGGAAAAAAAGATTGGGCACAATATTCAAAAGCTTCATCAGTGATGCATTAAAAAGTAGTAGGAACCTGATGAAAGTAGTAGTATAATTTTGCATGTGTTGATTAGTTAAAAGATACATAAATACTGCAGTTAATGGCGCGCTATACCTTTTAAAAGACCTGACGTTTGAAGCTTGTGGGTTGTTCTGAAATAATAGTAGGACGGTGATGGTATAGAACTGGAGGGAAAGTTGTCACACCAGGTATGTGTGGACACTGCTCACACCCCTCATGGTGAGCTGGGGTCACTAGAAATGGTTGGAGTTGTGCTGGTCTGTGTGTGCTGTGTATTCCTGCGAGGCTCAGAGCAACTGATACAGTTTTCTGCATTTACCTGCGTTTTTCATGGGCAGAAACTTATGCTATGCTCATACTGCTCTCTCTCATATCAGTTGCATCGAAACAAATATATATTTTTAAAACAAGCATTATAGCTGAACTGGCTGTTTTTACTAGAAAAACTCAGTAGTATACATTTTAAAGCAAAATTTGGGCTGGGGGAAAATAATATTTTGACTTCATAACACTAAAATGTTTGGAAAAATGATTTTTCTTTTAAAATAAGCACTGTTTTATATTTGTACTATATATACTTTATTGTTACATTGAGATAATACCTTTATTTGAAGGGTTTAAGAGTAAGATGGCCTTTGTTAAGAAAATGGAGTAATATTGTACTGACCCTCTGATTGATTGATAGAAGTCCTTATTGTAAGTTTAAGTTAGTTTCAACTGTACTTATATACAGTGAAATATTATTCATCCATAAAAAAGAGTGACATTCTGATATGTGCTATAATATGAGTGAACATTGAAAACATGCTTGGTAAAATACGCCAAACACAAAGAACAAACACTGTATGATTCCACATAAGAGATACCTAGAATGGACAAATTCAGATAGAAGTTAGAATAGAGATTACCAGGGGGTGGGGGTAAGAGGAATGGTCAGTTATTGTTCAGTGGGTACAATTTCTGTTTGGGATGCTGAAGAAGTTTGGAAATAGATGGTGGTGATGGTTGTACAACATTATGAACGTATTTAATGCCACTGAATTGTGCACTTAAAAATGGGTAAGATGGTAAATTTTTATCACAGTAAAATTCAGTTTTAATTTATTTCATCCATTATTTATGTCTTCTTTATTACATGCATATTCCAGTAATTATAGAGATACTGTAAATATATTTGAGCATTGCTCAGAATGAACATATGACTAATTTTCTCTTATGAGTGCTAATTTGAGTACTGAATTGAGATGTATCAGAAAAGCATACATTAACTGGAATGTTCCTATGTATCTAGTGAATTATTTATTTTGCATTTGAGGGTCAGGCTGAAGTACCCTAGAATTTCTTCCTTGGTGTTACAGAATCAGGGGAGTGTTTAAGCTCTTGACTATAATACTGCATTTATTGAGTTAGAGAAAAATATTTTCTTAAAGTATTTGTCAAAGGGAGTTATTTGAGTAAACTGGCTTCTTCAGTGATTCCTAGTAACCACAATAATTGAGTACTGTTACTAAGCTACATCAGGATGATTTTTTTAAAGAAATAAATTCTCCAAGTGGTTTTCTTAGGTTTTTCAAATGATGAAATTTTTGTGTTTTTACTTTATTTGTCTCCTAAAATGCTATCCAATTGTATTTTAGGTTGCAACAAGGATAGTGTTCGAGCAGGCTGTAAAAAATGTGGCTACCGTAAGTACATTAAAAAATAGCATTGTGTATGTGAATCATTTCTTCATTGGGCGCTGTGATCCCAGATTCCAATGCCCTGGGCACAGAAAGTCCTTTAGCCCTGTTATTTAGCTCATGTTTAAGGTGGTTTAGAGCTTCATCTGTCAGCCCTACATACTCATTTTTCTTTCCTGCTACAGACTTAAGTGACAGGTGGCTGTGGAGCTGGTGAGTAGCCAGGATGTCATGGAAGTCCACAGGGAGTAATAGACTCAGGAGTCGGGAGAAAGCGTGTGCCCTTCCCCAAAGTACATGTATACCTGTTCCTTTACTTACCCTTTCAGATGCTAGGTGAGAGGGAAAAGCAAGTAAAACAGTTTATGAAGCATTTCCCTATGTATTGAATTTATTCCTTATGGGGTGAATTAGACCCAGAATTTCTGCTCGCTGACAAAATTTGATTTAAATGATTATTAATCTCCATTATGAGTAATGGACTGGAAAGCAAACTTTAACCTGTGTAATCATATACCCAAAATTTGTAATTATGTACTATAAACAAATATTTCTCTAGTTAAATGTGACAATTCCTAAGACTTCGATAACAGCTGTAATAATACTTGCTGTTTTTTAAGGTGTTTGGAGACCCTGTAGATGAGCCTAGATTGTTGTTAATAGTCCATAATTTGTCAGTATCTTCCAAAAGTAGTTATATTATTTTAGAAAGTTTCAAGGAAAGGGTGAATATGTTAGTAAGGAACATGGATCTCAGTTTTTCATGGCAGACAGAGTTCCTCAGCAAAATCAGAAGAATAGTTATTTCTGTAATACGGTGGGGTTTTTTTTGAAGTTGGCAACTTCTGAATATTGAAAAGCTGCAAGGACACTAAGCCTGTCTCCATGGAACACATGCCTCAAATTATGGTCGTAGACTCGAGTTGAGCATTTGATCACAGAAACAGGAAATAAAAACATGCTCAAATACCCTTAACATTTCATTTAACTTAAAATTCGAATCCACTGATATATAGCCATGACCTTTTCTTTGTCTTTGGGTCTGCTAATTTGCGTTACACATAGTCTTTTGAGTGAAAATCATATCTGAAATGCATTTTCCACTTCTGTAGCTTGTTTCTTCAAAACAAGAAGATAGGGAACTAGTTAAGATACAAAGAAATTTGAGTGCAAAGTTTTTCTATCATTCGTTCTCAACTAGGGGTGGTACTGCCATCTGGAAATCTCTGGATGGTTTTTTGAAAGTCGTCCATAGGGGTGGGGAGCAGTATGGCATTTAGCATGTAGGGTCCAGGGATTATAAATGTTTTACACTGTATAGGATGTTCCCAGACAATGAAGAATTGTCTGCCCCAGAATACCATGGCAGCGCCTTTGAGAAACAGCACTGTTTTCTCATTGTCCTAGATTTTCCCCCCGTTGTTTATAGTCTTCTTGCCAGTGTCTATTTTGAAAACTGCTTTTTAAAGCAATTCGTTTACTTCAAGTCTTTCCAAAAGTACAGCTTTATTTCATAGAAATAACCACTCATTTTTTCCACACTCACATTTTTTGGCCTACGTGTTGTTATATAAGCACATTTTAGAACAACAATAACCACCTCTCTGTGGAATACAATACCAACGTGTGGAGTAAAATACACAGGCACGAGCTGAGGACAAGTAACCGAGAAAGTCCAGTGCCGGGGCCGGGGGAGCAGGGGTGGGCAGCATCACAAAAGACAAAGAAGTAAAGTTTTTTGTTCTTCTTTTTAAATTGAAGGGCATTGTCAGGTGTGACAGATAAGATTTGTAAGAAACGAAAGTTGTCAGTCATGAAACAAACTGTGTAGATTCAGGCCTGAGCGGTGAGAAACAAACAAACAAAAGTTTAGAGGAGTTGATGTCTTTGTTTTCAAGAAATTTACAAGAGAAAAGCATACTCCTGTCTTAGTCCATGGCGGCTGCGCTAACAAACACCAGCAGGTGTAGCTTCTAAACAGCAGACGAGTCTTGTGCACAGAGCCAGGGCTGAAGGCCCCAGATCGGGTGCCACTGTGGTCCCACGAGGGTCCTCCTCCAGGTCACAGAGTTTTTCTCTGGTCCTCACATGGGGGAGTCTCTTTTATAAGGCATTGATCCCATTTATGAGGATGTTACCCAGTGAGGCAGAGACTGTTTTTCCAAGCTAGGAAATTAACATTAAAAATTGGTCTGGTATTATATTAATTAAAAACCTTAAGTCCAGCTACATATCACATTAATAAAACTAAATCAAAAACTAAAAACTACATAGAAATTCTCATATAAAGGGATGGAGGAAAAGAACAGGTAGATATTAGGCTGAAATTATTGATATTCAGCTGTTTTATTCATAAAAATTGTAACTTCATATGTTTCAACTAATAACAAAAAACACTAACCACTAATAGAACAATTTTAATATCAGACTTTTGAGGCAAGAGCAGTACTAAAGACAAAGAGATATTCAAGAACAATCAACCAAGAAGATAAATTAATGATCTTGGACAGCTTACTTATAATCTCAAAATACGTATAGCAAAAACTGTACCAAGGAGAAACGGATAAATCTATGATAGAGGTACTTAAAATTTCACCGTCATAAATTATTAAACAAAAAAGCAAATGGAGAAAATTGAAGAACAAAATAAACATAGAACCCTATTCAACAAATAATGATATATATATATATTCTTTTAAAATACATATGGAATCTCTTCCTAAATGTATTACGTGGTGGACTACAAAATAAGTGCCAGCAAATGCCAGTGAGCTTATATCACACCAACCCCATTTTCTGACAACAGTGTAATAAATTTAGAACTCAACCAGAGTGGAGTCTGAAAACTCCCTGTGTTTGGAGTCTGAAAAGAGCACTTCCCAGCGATTGCTTTGGAAGAAAGGCTCAACACCAGAAACTTGATTCCAGCAGCATGGCAGGTTGCACCCTCCCGTGAACCGTGGAGAAACTCGGATAAAGTGTGCAGTACCTGTTCTAGGCATATTAGCATGCTAGGAAGAAAATGAGGAATACTCAGGGGGCAACAACAAAGGAAAGCAGAAATTGTGAGAGGTAGGTGTCGAGGGTATCTGCTGAACCCAGGGTTCTTGAACTTCTGTTTTCACGACATGACAGGATGCAGGGGATGAAAAATGAGGCCTGGGGCTGTGCCCAACGTTGGGGCTCTAACAGGAGAGGCTCTTGTATAAATCTAGAAGTTTTTTAAGGGACTTCATCCTCAAATTATGGGAGAACTAGAAATGAACCCTAGCACAGACATGTGGTAAATCACCTACCATCTGTGGGTTGTGAAATCAATTACGTGGTTACCGTCAGCATTGGTATTTCTGAATATCAAGTATAGTAATGCTTCAGGTAACTTTTGTTTGGACTGTTGTGTCGTAGTGTGTATTTGTATATGAATGTGTATGTGAATGTATTTGGTTGCATTGTAATTTTTTACCATCATTCAGCCATAGTCAAAAAAAATTGCAAGCTGCTGCTTTGGAGGAACCGCGCTGTATGTGCATGAAGAGCCGTGAGCTGCTGCACGTCTCAGCATGGTTTAGAATAGCCACGGGCTGGCAGCGGCCTGACACTCTTATCAGTAGTAGAAAGGGTAAATAAATGTTTTTATCCAAGGCGACATTAGTCATCAGGTAAAATGAGATAACGTCATCTACCATGAACATAGATAAATCACTCAATTAACATTAAGTGGCAGAAACAAGTTGCAGAATGAGAAGTAAGCAAAATTGAGTTTATGTTTTAGAAAATAATAATATAACATGGTGTTGGGGAAAGAGACACACCAGCTTCTGTATAGCAACTACCGTAGACAGAGCGGGGTGAAGTCCAAGTTCCAAAGGATGGGACGAGCTCTCCAGCTGTGTGGTGCGTGCGCAGGCAGGCGAGCGTTTCCCTTGCAAACACTGCAGGTGAATGCCACAGAATGGTAGTGGGCGGTGCTGGGCACTTGGATGTCGGTTCTATTATTTCCTGCACTTTTCTGGTGTTTGTAATACTCAATGTTTTTTAAAAATGGCATCATGCTATAAGTAGATAACTGTTGTAATTTTCTTAGAGAAGGAATCTTATGGGGGTAGATGAAGTAGAAGCACACGTTTAGGTGTATTTTTTAGAGGACCACATTGAGTTGTGTTATTACGGTACCTTTAAATATGCGAAGGCTCTGCAGTTACGTGAGTAGAGTACTAAAGATGAAAAGAAAACAGTATGTCAAAGGAATTAAATATAAAATCCTGAATATGAGAATATTTTCTTTAGTACATAAAAGAAAAAATGTATTACATAAAAAGGGGGAATACAGCGATTCAGTACTCAAAAAAAAATGCTTATTAAATTGGAAGCCCTGATGAAGAAAGGAAAAAGTTCTCTCTGAGCATTATAGTCAGGGAAAGTGAACTACCACCCGCTGATTAAAAGTTGAAACTAAACATTTTATTATAGTATTAAAATTGGAATTTGTTGCTTGCCTTGAGGCAATAAAAAATACATATACTGTATCTATCATTTTGTCACCCGTATTTTTTGGTTTTACTTAGCCGGTCACCTGACTTTTGAATGCCGCAATTTTCTCCGAGTAGACCCCCAAAGGGACATAGTTTTGGATGTCAGCAGTACCAGCAGTGAGGAGAGTGATGAAGAGAATGAGGAGCTGAATAAATTGCAGGCATTACAAGAAAAAAGTAAGCAATGCTTTTTTCGTCTTCATCCTCTCAAAATGTTTCTAAATGTTCTGCTCTACTATGTCATGTTCATCTGTTTTCCATTGTATTTATCATGAAGGCATCTTTTCTGTTTAATGTAAGAACTCCTGCGTAGGCAAGGAAACAGGCTTTGAACATTGGAAGTAAATTGCCCAAAATCAAACAGCTGGTCAGTTACAGGACCACAGGCAGGTCTGTCTTTATTGCAGAGCCCAGGTTCTGTCGTTCCATCACACTGTGTGGTGTGTTCCATGGGGCAAAAGTCTGATTTAACACTTGGTTTCTAGCCCTATTTGGCCATGGTTTAGCATGTGACTTTCAGCAAGTCACTTTACCACTCGGAACCTCAGTTTCCTTGCGGAATAACACAGAAGACTGGGCTGTTAAATCGCACTGATTCAAATCAGAGATCTCAGCCAGTATCCAGCTTTACTAAGAATATAGATACATAGATGACCATGAGGCACAGGCAAAGCAGCAGGGTTCCGGGATGGCCAGTGCAGTCCCCAGGTGTTTTGTACTTCAGAACCCACGCTAGCCAGAATTAACACAAGAAGTTTCCACAGTACTTACACAAAAGAAGTCACTTTAATCATAAAACATCTCCGTTTTGTGTGGATAATTACATTTTCCAGGGAGCCATGCCCGTAAATCTGTCCATTCCAGGATTGTTAATCATGAACAGTCTTAGACAAACTAGGTACCTTCTGCTGTAAGCAGTCTGTAAATAAGGATTCTCTTGCCCACAGCTTGATTATTGACTTCTAGCTTTCAGAACTGTGAGAAAATAAATTTCACTGCCCTCTTCCCTCCCGAAAAGGCTTCTCTAGCTAGCGGATACCATGTATTTGTTTCCAGGAGGTCTGTAATTAGCACTTGTGTAAAAAAATTTCTTTCCTGGGAGGCTCTTCCTCTCCCTCCCCAAAGAAAAGAGATCACAGACCTGTTTAACCATTTCTTTCCCATCTTGTGTATAAAATGGCCTATCTTTGCAGTGGGGTTTTAGGGATTAAATGTGAGGTTGACTGTAAACTACAAAATGTCACATGGTAGGCGTCACACAAAAGCAAAAGACAGTATTCGAATATGGGTTTAGGCATGGGATGAGAGAAACACAGGAAGTTTAAACTCATTTAGGTCATCAGATAACAATAAACACTTTAGAAATTTGTAAGCTTTCCATGTTCTATCCAGTGAAAGGAAGTGAACAGGGCAGATGTCAGGATACTGGGAAAGTGAGAGGGCAGAAAAGGACAAACAGGTCCCCCTGCATGTGTCTGCATGGCTTCAGGGTGAAGGCATCCCTCCTGAAACATCCCTGAAATGATAGTAGAAGATTTTTTTTTTTTAAGACATAAACTGACAAGGGCAAAGAAAATGGGATAAGAAGCAATAGTAACAAAGTTTCGCTGGAATGCTAGTCTTTTAGTGATAACAGGCTGCATACTTGGGAAAGATACATCCTTTAACAATGAAACAGAAGAAATCTGAGTAGTTACCCGATAGGCACTTTGAAACCTCCTAAAGAATTGATAATGAGTATCCTTAGATACCTTTGTAATTGAGGAATTATGAAAGATTAAAAACAGAGGGATTGGTTGAAAAATCTGAAGGAGTTAGATGCTCAGTTCCTTCCTCCTACTCTGAAGCCAGGGGGCCTCCCCCATCACCTGAGCTGACTACTATCGATCAGTTTTCCAGACAGGGTAAGACAAAGGCTCCTTAAATAGGGATGTACGAAACACAGGCAAGAGCAGTGAGTTAGGGGTACATACAGAATGGTGAGAACCTTTCAGCAGTCTTCCACTGTTTGGTTCCCAGACACATACCACCTAGTCCTAAGATTTGAAATTCACCTCCGGGGACTCTGCTCATCTAAGAAGAAAGTAATAAAGATACTGATGTCAAGGTTCTTCGAGAACGTGGCCTGGCCAGATTACCAGTGAAGTCCAGATTTCCAGCCTTTGCTTGCTGAAAGCTTCCACCCATCTTTTTTGACAACCAAGGAGCACCGAATTTCTGAGGAAAGACTCTAGCCTGAAATACAAATACCAAATCTAACAAATGAAAAAAAAATCAACTTGAAGAATGTAGTCGGTGAAGGGATAGGAAAACCTAAGAGAAGTAATTAATATCCAGTTTTATGGAAGGATAAGGTACAGCAGCCATAAAACATGAATAAGGTACTATAAAAAGAACACACACACACGAAGAACTTTTACAAATTAAAAAGAAACAGACATAAAAATGTGGTAAAGATTAAAGAATCTTAGCAAAACGAGAGAAAAAGACAATTGAAGGATCAGTCTAGGAAATAATTCATTCAAATGAGTCACAAAAAGAGAAAACAGAAAATATTTCCAAGAACTAAAGGACATTAGTTTCCAGATGAAAAGATTCAGTAAGTACCAAGCACAACATTAAAAATAGATCCACACAAAGGCACAAAGTCGTGTAACTTCATACCATAGGAAACAAGGAGAACATAACTCAAACTTGCCAGAGCCAAGGTTAAGACAGGTTGTAGACAAAGTCAGGAGCTGGAATAGCTTTGTATTCTCTAAAGCTATATTTGTAAGCTAGTAGGTGTGAACAATGCTTTCAGATTTTTGAAGGAAACTTATATCCAAGTTAGAATGATACACCCAACCAAATTATCCAAGTTTTGGAAGATTTACCTCTCACATACCCTTATTCCAGAGGTTTCCTATGGAAGTCGGGGAGTAGACCCAGAAAGGAAGTCATGGGCTATAGGAAATGGAAGTGATGAGAAGGGAGCGCCTTGGGTGCTGTGAAGGGCGATCCCAGGCCGGTAAAGCGAGCAGCCAAACTGCATGGAGTGGAACCGAAGTTTCTAGGGCAGAAAGCCTGAGCCTGTCCTTTTTTTTTTTTTTTTAATTCTTTTTTAAATTTTTTTTTTAGCTTTTTAAAAAATTATTTATTTATTTTTATTGATTATGCCATTACAGTTCTGTTCCCCCCTTCATTCCCCTCCACCCTACCCCCCATCCCCACCATTACCCCCCCTTTAGTTTATGACCATGGGTCTCAAGTTCTTTAGATTCTATATTTCCCATACTATTCTTGCCCTCCCCCCTATCTATTTTCTATCTACTGTCTATGCTACTTATTTTCTGTACCTTCTCCCCCCTTCTCCTCCTCCCACTCCTCTGTTGCTAACCCTCCTTGAGGTCTTCATTTCTATGTTTCCACTCCTGATCTAGCTGTCCTCTTAGTTTGCTTGAGCCTGTCCTTTCCACAATGGCAGCTTCTATCCCATCTGTCTAAGCTGCCCTGGTTTTTAAAAAACTTAACGCATAGAATTTTCGAATTGGGAAGAATCTTAGAGAACACATAGTTTAAATACTCAGTTTTATAAAAGAAGAAAAAGAAGACAGGTAACTTCTCCAAATCAGTACCAAGACCTAGGTTTCTTGACTGCTAGTCCTCTAGTGTTTTCAGTATAACATGCAGCTTGCTGACATTAAAGGTCATCTGTCTGTTCTTATCTTTATATTTTCCTTATCACATCAGTCTTGAAGGATAAAGTACACTCCCATCCTGAGTAGTGGAGTGGTCTATTCTAGAGGTGATTTTTCAATCAGAAGACTTGGGACAGACTCACCCTGGGATGCAGGGGAAGGGATAAACATATAAACTCCAGGATAAGTAGTTGGTAACCTTCCTTATTAGAATCAGCTTTCCTCTAACCTCACATTGAGAATGACAGACTCCATCTAACATTTTTTCTTTTTTAAAAGGATATGCTCGTGCATAGTCCCAGAACCTGTTTCCAAGTCTTATGACTCTGACCCAGAACAGTGCTCATTCAGTATATCATGCAGATTTCAATAATAAAGTTTTATAAGAGGGATGTTTCTTTCTTTCATGGTCACTTTAATGCAAGCCCGGTGACCCACCCCTTCCCAAGTAAACAATAGGTTGGTTCCTGAGTAGTTGGAGGAAGAGAATGGAAAGGTTGTATTCTTAGTTCCGCTGATAACTTTCTGATACTGCTCAGATCCCTAAAGGGGTGAGGGTAAAACACTGACGTTGAGTGTAAGTTTTCATCCCGCATCTTTCAGGTGGTCCTGGGAGTTCTTTGAATCCTTCCTTTGGTCCTTGGAGGTAGCGAACTCTTGTAAAAACTATCTATCTTGTATATGGTTAAGGTTTTTTGTTTGTTTGTTTTAATGACAAAATAAAAATAGAATGAAGAGAAAGCAAAGAATTCTTAGTGTACTGATGTAGATAGTTGTTCTGCTGTTATGAAATAGAATCATGAAAAGGGAGGGAGGGAAATGCCACCACAAAAACAAGACTCAAGATTTATTTTCGTGTAAGTTCTGTTTTCTATTTTGCCCCATATGTATATATTTGCTTCTACTATATTGCTTATTTTTCAATGCATTTAATAGTATGTTCCATTTAAAGATTTAAATGTTTTAATATCTTTCATTTAAAACAAAGTCTACATCACAAACTCCAGTGTTTTGTGCAGAGTAGGGCACTGAGAGCAGGACCCGACGTGGGCGGGAACAAGTGCTGTTGCCCTATTACACTCTGACCAGCTGGGCCCACGCCTCCTGAGCACGTGGCTCCCTGGGGCTGCGGACAGGAAGCTGCCGGTCAGACAGCGCAGGGTGAGGGTCCCGAGTCCCCGCTCACTCGCTGCTGTGCATGCAGGTCTTCAGGAAGCTTGTGGAGGTTCCAGGCTGTGTTCTGAACTTCCTGAAGAAACTTTGGAATTGTTCATGGTAGTAGCAAATATCTAAAGACCCGTTTATGTTGTGATATGCATAAATTTTGGTATTTACAAAGAAGCCAAGAAATTCAAGAATGTGGATTCTTAAATTAATTAGCAATTTGCCTGGCATTAGAAGATAGTCCTCTCCTATTTCTCTCCTATTTCACTCCTTAATATTTTGCAATATTCTTTTTGTTTAGTCTGGAAAAGAAATGTTGTATTTTGATGACATTGGGATTTTTGGGTCTAGTTTGGTTTTCTTGGCTTGTTTGGTTTAAGAGAATTTTGCGCTAAATTTATAATTGATGCTATTTAAAGATTGTTGATACAGAAAATTGCATTAGAGAAAATACCAAAATCAGGTAGTTTCATGTTGCCATAATTGTCTCTCTCCTTCCGTTTAGTAACTGCTGGAATAAAATTCAAATGAATGACTTACAATAGTGGTCTCAGGCTTTATGAAGATAGGGCTTAAATGAATTCACACAATGATTGGAGTAAAGCCTATTTATGACTCAGAATGTACTTTTTTAAAGACAGCTATTTGCTAAGTAGTTGGCAGATACAAGAGGGAATAAGAAATTTAGATTAATGGACCTGGGTTTGAAACTGCCCACCCAGCTATTTAAAAGTAGCTGGAGTAGCTACAAGCCTGGTGACAGGTTTGCAAACAAAGATACAGTAGCTGAGCCTGCTTGTGCTGCTAGGACAGATCTTCCGTTCTCCCCAAATCTCTGTGTAAGTGCTGGATCCTAACTTCCAGCTCCTTTGTGTTGCTTGGAGACCCCCACTCCTGCTGATCATAATGAGTCATAAGGCTGATTGTGTCCTTTTCCAAGAAATTATTATTTTGAAAAAACTCATATTCTTTTTCCTGCTATGCCCATGTACATTTTAACATCCTGTCTCAGAAAGAACCTTGAAGAATAGAGGTGGAATAGTTCTCAGAGTGGTAGTGTAGCAGCACCGAACTCTCTAAAACAAACTTTTGTGTCCAGTGCTCGCATTCTCGTATCCTGTTATCAGTACTGCTAGTTCCTGAGGGTGTACGGCTCAGAATAAGTAGTTCTTCAATCCTAGGATTATTTTGTCTTTATTAGAACTGATTTCTCTATGTAATCTTTTTTCCCCCATATTTTTTTATTGTTGTTCAAGTATAGTTGTCTGCATTTCCCCCCACACCTCCCCCCAACCCCAGCCATCCCCAATTCCCACTCTTGATCCTACCCTCTTTGGTTTCGTCCATGTGTCCTTTATAGTTGTTCCTGAAAACCCTTTTACCTCCCCCTCCCCATTATCCCCTCCCATCTCCCCTCTGGTTATTGTCAGTTTGTTCTTAATTTCAATGTCTCTGGTTATATTTTGCTTGCTTGTTTGTTTTGTTGATTACTCATCTCTATGTAATCTTATCTGTGACTCCTTATTCATCATTCTTAAATGGACAAGGAAACGATCCCCATAGCTACTGTTTTCTTTGCTTAGTTACTCACAATCTCTCATCTTTTTAACATGTTTACAATTAGTCATTCTGAATTTATTATAGCTACCCAAAAAAAGACAGCTACTCAAGAGACAGCTAAAGTACATATTTTAAATATTTTATTTCTTTATTTTTAGAGAGTGGGAAAGAAAGGGAGAGAGGGAAACATCAATATGTGGTTGTCTCTCACGTGCCCCCTGCTGGGGACCTGGCCCACAACCCAGGCATGTGCCCTGACTGGGAATCAAACCTGTGACCCTATGCTATGCAGTCCAATGCTCAATCCACTGAGCCACATCTGCCAGGGCTAAAGTAACTTTTAATGTCAGATCAAGTACAAAGAATATTGCTATGGATAAAGAGTTTGGTTTTTTTTTCCATAATGATAAAAGTGTCAGTTAATCAAGAGGACGTATAAATACTAAGTGTTTACAGACCTAAAAACAAAATTCAAAATTTATGAAGCAAACCCCTGATAGAACTACCAGGGAAAATTTTTGTGGATACGCAAATCTACAATTATAGTTGGAAGTTTCAACACACCTCTCAATAATTGATAGAACAAATAGGCATTATATCAGAGAAGATATAGAAGACTTGAATAACATTTCAACCAATTTGACATATCTAGCAATTATAGAACATCTTACCAAACAACAAAATATACTTTTTTTTCCAAGTACATGCAGAACATCTACCAAGATGGACCTAATTCTGTGCTGTAATTCAACTCTCAAGAAATTTTTAATGATTCTAGTTATTCAGAACATATTCTTTATCCACAAGAAAATTAAATTAAAAATCAATAACAGACCCTGGCCGGTGTAGCTCAGTGGATTGAGCGCGGGCCTGCGAACCAGACAATCGCGGTTCGATTCCCAGTCAGGGCACATACTGGGTTGCAGGCCGGTTCCCTGCAGGCCAGTTCCCAGCAGGGGACACATGAGAGACAACCATACATTGATGTTTCTCTCCCTCTCTCCTTCCCTTCCCCTCTACAGATAAATAAATAAAGTCTTTTAAAAAAATCAATAACATAACTTCCTAGAAATTTTCCAAATGTTTGTAATTTAACACACTTCTAAATAACCCAGGGGTCAAAGAGAAAAAAAGAAAACAAAAGGAAGTTAGAAAATATTTTGAACTGGATGAGAATAAAACCACAACACAGCATTTATGGAAGGGCCTAAAGCAGCACTCAGGGCCTTAGACAGACTCACAGCACTAAATGCCTGTATAAGAAAAGACGAAATGTCTCAAAGTCATAACTTTCAGCTTCTCCTGTTACACACAACAAAGAGAAGAGTAAATGGCACCTGAAATAGGCAGAAGAAAGGATGTAATAGAAGTGAAATAACAAAATGGAAAACAAAAAAATAGAAAAAATCAATGAAACCAAACACTGTTTTTTTTTCTTTTTAAAGATTTTTATTTATTTATCTTTAGAGGGGAAGGGAAGGAGAGAGGGAGAGAAACATCAATGTATGGTTGCCTTTCGTGCGTCCCCTGCTGGGAACTGGCCTGCAGGGAACCGGCCTGCAACCCCGGTATGTGCCCTGACTGGGAATCGAACCGCGATTGTCTGGTTCTCAGGCCTTCACTCAATGCACTGAGCTACACCAGCCAGGCCAAACGCTATTTTTTTTTAAAAAATCTGTAAAATTGAAAATTTGTTATTCAAACAGATCAGATTTTAAAAAGTCATTAATTATCAATATCAGAAATTAAAGAAGTGACAATAGGACAGATTGTACAGATACTAAAATAAGGGGATATTGTAAACAACCTGGTGCCAGTAAATTCAACAACGTAGATAAAACGGACCTGTGAAAGACACAGGGTACCAAAACTTCCAAAAAGTAAATGGAAAAGGGCCTGCACTTATTAGAGAAGTTAAATGTTCAGTTTAGAAATGTCCGTAGCTGATTGGCTTCTTTCATGAATTTTAGCAAATATTTAAAGGAGAAATAATACCATTTCTACATAAAATCTTATCCAAATTAAATAGGAAGAAATAGTTTTCAACTCAATTTTTAAAACCAGCAGTACCCTGATAAAACCATATTTTATCTACAAGAAAACTACTCACATAAATATAGATACAAAGAGAATTTTAAGCAATTAAAATGATTTTAGCAAATCAAGTCCAATAATATGTAAAAATGATACTATGTTTTGACCAAGTAGAGTGTATCCCAGTAAGATGAGATTTTATTTGACATTCAAAAATCAGTCAATGTGATTCTCCATTTTTAACAGACTAAAAACTCCTATATGATAATTACAATATTTGAAGAAATTATTTGAGGAAGTCCATTTTCCATTTCTGATAGAAATTGTTAGCAAACTAGGAATTTTCATCAACCTAATAAAGGATGTTTATTTTAAAAAACTGACGAGATCGGGCATTTTCAGGATGGTATGGCCATAGGCAAAAGAAAAAATATATAGGACTTTATGTAGCAAAGTTTGTATAAGTGATTGTATGTGTACATTTGGTTATGTATAGAGAAAGGAAGCCTAGAAGAATGCACACCAAATTGTGTGCCAAAAAAAAGTAAGTTAGAGAACAGTGTGTACCCTCTTCTTCCAGGACACCAATCACATAAATATTGTCTGCTGTTATCGTCCTGCGACCCTAGAATTCTGATCCTGGGACCCCATGACCCCAGTTTTGTATGGAAAAGAAAATTAAAGAACTGTACTTGATTGTATGGTTTTGTTTTTTTAAGGCTTGGAATGGTACCCAATCAAAAATTGATTTGCTATAGGAATTAACATTAAAAGTACTAGAATTTTTTACTCAGTGTACTTATTAGTATTTGAAATTTCCATAAAAAGCATGTAATAAAAATAATCAATGGATCTTGAAGGCATTATGCTAAATGAAATAAGTCAGAAAAATACAAATACCATATGATGTCATTTGTCTGTGTGATCTAAAAGGAAAGAAGCAAATTGTTATGCTCATAGATACTGAGCACAGATGGATGGTTGCTGGAGGCAGGGTTGGGGGCAGAGGTAAAATGGGCGAAGGGGTCAAACTTTCAATTGTGAAATAAATAAGTAATGGCAGTGTAATATGCAACATGGTGACTAGAGTTAATATTACTGTATTGTATATTTGAAGGCTGATAAGGTAGATCTTAAATGTTTTTATCAAAAGAAAAACTATTTTTGTAAGTATTTATGGTGACAGATGTGAACTAGATTTATTGTAGTGATCATTTCGCTATTTTCAGATATTGAAAAAACTAATATCACATTATATGTCAGTTATACTTCAGTTTTTAAAAAATCAGGAAAGGGAAAATTGATACAAGGAATGTCTAATATCCTAACCAGTGAAAATCATCAACCAAAATAAAAAAATGTAACCATATCAGTACATAGACCTATGGTGACCTGATTCTTTCCCATCAACACAGGAATAAATGAAGAGGAGGAGAAGAAAAAAGAAAAAAGCAAAGAGAAAACCAAGTTGAAAAAAAAAAGGAAAAGGTATTATTTTAAACATCATTTTTTAAAAATCAGGACTGTGACTCTAGGATGGATTACATTGTTTCCGGTGTAGTCTAGTTTAACTCTCTTTTCCTCAAACAGAGTTGGATGCCTAACTGTTTCAGTAAAATAACAGAAGTCCTTCTTTTCAGGACTCAAAAATAAAATCAACATTTAGTCACTTTAAATGTTCTTTTTTTGAGCAAATCAAGAATAAATAACACCCCTGCCTTTTATATATTCTAGAATTTTAAGTTTCAGAACATCAGCCAATCTTTTAATGGAATATATGTCTAAATTCTTCACATACATATTTGTCTTCATGTGTATGAAGTCGGAGATTAAATATTTGTATTTGCAAAATATTATTGCCTTGTCTAAAAAAATAATTGGTTAATAGGATTTATATACACACATGTCATGCTAAAAATTCCTTCAGGTCATTCAAAACCTTCATCAGCTACCTGTAAATTTTTATATCAACTCTTTTAACAATTAGCTGGTTAAAGAAATAGATCAACAGAATTAATGAGCAACGTTTTTCATGGTTAATGAGTGCAGTTTCCTTCATACTAGAGCAAACATATGCATAGAGACATTATTTACCGCATTTACAGCATTTGGCAACACCAGTTTGGCTTTGGTGGTAGGTTCTGCAGATCAGGTGCTGTCACTGTGTAGTTCTTATGGAGCATTTAATATATACATTTCAACACCTCAGCTCTTTTATAAATTAGAAGTTAGCTTGCTTTCAAGTTCTAGTTCAATAATAATCTTTAATGGAAAAACTAATAGGAAGGTAGACTCAGTGTATTGTGTGGTCTGACTAGTACATTGTTGAATTACTGGCATTCCCACTGGAAGGTAGATTGCTTATAGGAAAAGTTAGATTATCTCTTCTTTCAAACCTAATATACTTGTTTTGTAGTAACAGATTACTTATTCTAGCTTTTCTCTCTTGGGCCTGCAAACCTCAGACAGCCTGAAATTATATGAACTCTTCCAGGTACACTTACCAGAGGTAATACCACCTAATAGAGTTACTGTACCGAAGTCTAATGTTTTGCCTTAAAAATGAGAATCCAGAACCAAAAATCCAAAGGGAAAGAGTTGGGTAGGCAGAAAAGCAGCTCTAGTCAGAATCCAAAGGTCACACAAGGTCTTTAAAACAGGAAAACAAAGAAGAGAATAATAGAGACAAAATAGAGAAGGAGACTGCATTAAAAATAAGCTACTGAAATGGCCAGGAGTCGTAGGTAAGTAGGCAAGAAGGAGAAGGGAAGACAGCAGTGGGGGCGCACCCCAGTCACAACCTGCAGGCTCACCAGTTTGCTTTTTCTCCTCTTTGTGTCTGCGTCAGATTTTTTTAGTTGGGGTTTTAACGTCTCATGTCTAGATCACTGAACTAGCTCTTGAGATGCCTATTTCATTTTGAACTAACTCAGTTTCTGTCTTTTACACATATTTGGGGTTTACATATGGGTAGGTTGTTACACATTTCATATAGATTCTGAAGAAAGAGCTTTTCTGTCTTTTGTTTTTTATTCTTTTTTAATATTAGAGGAAGGACTTCTACAGTTTTTCATTCAATTTAGTATTACAGTAATATTTTAAAAGTTTAATGACACATCATCCTCATTCATCTATACATTTAAAAGTATCTTTTTTGCAGTGAGTGAACATTATTTTGAGATGAAAGTGTTCATCTGTATCACTCGGCGTCTGGAGGAATCAAGTACTTTAACTTGAAAATCAAAATAGTTAATAAATACTTTTATTTTATTAATTTTCAGCTTTTATTCATTTATACAGAGGTACATAATTATAACCCTTTTTATAAATATAATTGCATCCTTTTGTGACTCTTTTAAGAGACTATGCCAGTGATTTTCAATCAGTGTGCCACAGAATTTTTACAACATGCAATACCTGACTATTAAGTCAGGGGCACGGACCTCTTTTCCCTCAAATTGTCAAAAAAAATGACAACAGCCAACACAATAGCTCTCCAGTATAAACAAATTAAAATCATATCTATTTTTGTCAGGACAGCAAAAATAATATATTTTGGTGTGCCACACAATTTTAGTAATTAGTGTATGTGTTCCATGAGATGAAAAAGGTTGAAATTGCTGGAATATGCCAACAAATTACTTCATGCACAAGTGAATTGTGTGTATAATGAGGCTTGGTAAATGCAGCTTAGTTTGCTTAACAAGGTTTTGAAGGGTATGAAGGATGAGAAAGTGAAAAGCAGAAAAATAATTTTCATTCTTACCAAAATTTAAAATTATGTAACTATAACTGCATAACTTATATACCAAGAGTTGAGCAGAATAGAGATACTTGTTTTGTCAGTTTCTGTGGCCAAGTAGCAAGAAATTCTAAATTCAGCATTTTAAGAGAATACAAGTGTACAAAGCACATTTTGACTTTCTTTGTTTATACCCCAGCCTTGCTCCAAGAAGGATTTAAGGCAGATCAAATCCATTTAAATTTACCTATCAGCCATAAATGCAATCATCAGTCAGTGTATATTACTGCCCATAGGTCTTACTCATCGAGTTCAGCTGAAGAGGACACTTCAAAACAAAAGAAACAAAAATATCAGAAGAAAGAAAAGAAAAAAGAAAAAAAGAACAAGTCCAAAAAGGGGAAACATCACAAAAAGGAAAAAAAGAAGAGAAAAAAGGAAAAGCATTCTTCCACCCCTACTGCTTCTGAAGTCTCCAGAAAGTAACTGAGACTGTGGCTCAAGCCATTACATTTAAACGTTGATTTTGAAAATCATTTCACCTTTCTTGGAATTTGCTATATAATTTTGCTTTCCAATAAATCACAGGCTTGTCCAGATAAACATTTTTTTTCATATATAGGACCATTATCCTCTGGCAATATATTTTTAATGTACTGTGATTATGAAGTATTGAATTAGTCTTGCTACTTGATGGCCATGCCACAAGTATGATTATCTATAGATGCAAAACACATCAGTTTTGGTATTTGTGTCTCCATGTTTGACTAGTATTTTTTACTTCCTAAGTTGATTGTAAATGGCTTTACTACAGGCTACATAGGTAATCTACCTGGCCGGTCAGTGAGTATTCCTGAATCAAGTGTCTGCCTTCCAGTGATACAGCAAGGTAGGGGAGGATGCTTCCCTCTTGACACTGATAAACTGAGTAGATTTTTATATCCTATGATAATGTAAGATAATATTCTTCACTTGTTTTTTAATCTCTGGCTTTTTTTTAAAGTCATAGAAGATGAAGCTGATTTATTGATCTTGACAAGGACTTTTTGAATGAATGGTATCAACAGGAAGAGGATAATGAAAATATAACAAAGTTTCATTGTTTTATGACATGCAGCTAGTACCTGCCTCCTTTGTTTTTATAACTATGAAAATATTTCTTCCTCTTTAAAAAGACAAATCTAGTTCAGCCTGTTAGTAAGTCTCACAGAGATAATGTTGTGTTGGGCAGGATTTTTAGGATAGACTCTGGGGTGGTTTTACAAATGTGCCATATTGGCATGTCTCAAAGTGATACCTCAAACACAGAACTTTTTATTGAGAAAGATGACAGCTAAATCTTCATTAGAGCTGACTTTTGTTGTATCCAGTATATAAATTTTATGGAGCTTGTTTCTATATGAGTAATGTGGAAAATGTTTTATAAATGTGAACATATTTATTTGTCTGAAATAATTTGTAGTTTTGAAGCAGGTTTCACACTGAATTTATGGTTTCATAAATGACCGGTTTGGAGTGTTTCTCTCTGTTATTTCAGTCATAAACCTCAGGAGCAGTGACAAAAATTTAGGGTTAAGAATTTCATTCTGTACTTTTTAAAACTTCAGAACCAGGGAGTTGCATCATGAAAGTCTTTATATAACAATGGAAATTTTATATGGGTAAGAATTTGCAAACACATAGTAGATATAAGTGTGTTTTACATTTTAAAACACAATGATCAGTGTTAGTTACTTTGCTTAATATTCAGGTATCACTTATGCCCATAACTTAATACTTTTCATTGTAGCAGCATCAGAAGTCAATCCATTATCAGTGCACAGTACCAAAGATGGCAGGTACCTCACTGTGGTGCAGTTACAAATTTTCAAATCGATAACCTACAGACATGGCTTCAGATGAATTCATTATGGTGAAATCAGGTAAGTACACATAACCACACAGGCTGGAAAGGTGTACTCATTCTTTCTTCACCCAACACCCCTCCCTGGCATGACCTCAGTAAGCTTGGGAGAGCCTCATAATTCCACTTAATATATGCTTACCATGCTCAAGTTCAGGGATGCCACACGCGCACCCATCCTGTACCACTATAGCCATGGCAGCCTCACACCGATAGCTTTTCCATGGCCAATTTTAGTCACAGGGCCACAGAAAGAGATTGTCTTCTTTAAGTTAGGTATAGTCAGTTCTTTGGAGAGAAACACAGAGCTATTAGGTTTTTAAAGGCTCATTTTGCCATTGCTTTATTTTATGTATTTTTGAAATCTGTATTTTCTGAAAATACAGGTCTTTGGCTATCAACATGAAAAAAACAGTAAGATTAGCTTTTTAAATGATTGGAAAGTGCTGTGTATAAAGGGTGGCCTTACCCCACTGAGTGTGTAACATGGTTCAATACGACAGTTGAGTGAGCAGGGTTAATTATCTGTAAGTTTTGTTTGTGTTAGTTGTCAAGATTACAGTTTGGCTAAGTTTTTTCACAATGATGACTCGGTGAATAATGGTTCAGAAGAGTCACATAAAATCCAGCTGCAATTAACTATATTGAATGCAAATTAAAAGATTTTAATGCTCAATAATTATTTCCCCCTGGAAACAGTCTTGGAATTATTCTTAAGTAAATTTTTATCATATGAGAGTAGTTTGTGAAATATCTCATCTGAATAAAATAAATTTATTTTTACTCAAGTCATTTTCTTTTAAAGTGATATTACTATTATTGGGCTTGGATACAAATCTCACTAGTATATTTTGGAAAAATTAGTAAAATTTCCTGCAGTATGTAGCAGAAGAAAAAGTAAATTTAATAGAAAAATCCAACAAGTCCTGGCCATTCTCACCACCTGTGTGACTTCCAGCAAAGTCATTTAGCATCTCTGGGCCTTGGTGTTTTTCATCTATAACATGTTGTACCAGATTATCTCCAAGGTCACTTCCAGTCCATAGTATATATGAGTATTGATATTTTAGTAAAATTCAAGTGGTATTACTCGTTTTAGAAATATCACAGATAAGCAGTAGCAGTCTGTAATAGTAAAGGTTGTATGTACTAATACCACTGTTCAACACATTCAACATCTATAAGCAGATAATCGATATTTGGTTTACATCCTTATTATCCAACATATGTCATTTTCACCAGATGCAGACATAATTCTTGTTTTGAATTGTGTCTGTAACTGCATTGTCTGAACACTTTGAGGCAATTGCTTTTGGGGCGACAGACCTATTCCTCACACACATCCCTATTTTCTCCATATCATCTGTTAGCTAAAATCCCTTAGATGAATCCCCATGCTTCACACTTAATACACACCTGTTTGTGGTTCTCTGAGGCCAAACCATTAGTAAGTGAGCAGTGAACAAACTGTGTGTGTCTGTATTTACTACTCTCAAATTATAGAACCCTATGTCACTTTCAATTAGACTAGGTTGAAGAGTTATGAATAGTGTTCATAAAAATGCCACTGTATCCTTTCTTCAACAAACCTTTATTGAATGCCTAGCATGGCAAACACTCTATACTGATAAGTACTGGGCATACAGAGATCAGAGACTCATTTTCCCCCCCTGGAGATGTTCGTCATTTACTTGTAAATAGAAAAAGCAGAACACATCATACCAGTGTAGTAGTATTGAACCCAACATGGGTTTATAGAAACACAGGGGGGTATTGTCCTTAGACCAGAGAAGTTAGAAGAGGCTCCTTAAAGAAAATAGTACCTAAAATGCATTTTTTGAAAAAGATTCAATTTACTTATTTATTTTAGAGAGGGGCAGGGAGGGAGAAAGAGAGGGTGAGAAACATCAGTGTGAGAGAGAAACATCAACTGCTTGTCTCTCAGACATGCCCCGACCTGAGACCAAACCCATAACCCAGGTGTGTGCCATGACTGGTTATTAAACCTGCACCCTTTTGCTTTTCATGATGACACCCAACCCAGTGAGCCATACCTGTCAGGGCTGAAGTGCATTTTGGTTGAGGGGGAGGGTGGCAGTTGTGGCAGTTTCTGATAGAGTGGGCATGCTGGGAATAAAAACCACAATAGAGGCTGGAGGGTGTGTGTGTGTCAAAAATTAACAAGCAATAAGATTTAGGGGACATGACGGCAGGGAGGGATTGAGCAAGATGGAAAAAGGACTCATGGACATGGACCACCGTTTGGTGAATAATGGGGGGGGGCGGGAAGCGGACTAAATGGTAAGGGACAAAATAAAATAAAGATTAAATTAAAAAATAAAATGAACTAAAAGATTCGAGGCACTCATTTTAGGTTCTCAGGAACAAAAGGAGGAGGTCTTAGCTTCTGTTTTAGGGAATTTGTGTAAACAGACACCATGAGAGAGTTTTAGGGAAAGAAATGTCTTAATTGGGGTTTGGTTTAATTCATTTCATAAATCCACAAGTAAATCCACTCTAATTTCATAAATCCACCTTTTAGAAGGTGAAATTGCTCTCATTAAATGGCCACAGAAAATAAGTTGAATCTTTTCATACTATTATTTGTACTCCCACTTTTCTCAGATTTGATTATTATCGAAAATTATGATTTGTCTCCTAAAAACACATAAACCTATTGTATTCTTTATCAGCCCCACTCTCAGAATTACATGCATATGTACATACTTTTAAATGTACTTTGTTTTACATTTTATTTTAGATTATTTTTACTGACAAATTCTGTTACTGTGTTAGTATTTGTTATAGCCAAATAAATCATTTAAAGTACATCTTTCAGTGTATAGACTATGTTATAATTTGCTAAGGCTTCTTGCTTTTAACATTGTGTCTCAATCTATGAAGCACAGCTGCTCCAAAGTAATAGACACGCACCTGTTGGTCCCCTGGGTGAGCCCTGTGGCTCTCAGGTAACCTCGCCGCACAGGGCGTGCTCCAGGAACTCCACCGGATACTAGTGCTGGGGTTCAGTCTTCCTGAGCAGTTGTCATTCACGATGAGGAGGTTTTTAGGCCAGCGTGATGCTAATCTTGCTTGTAAAACGCAGGGTCTTCTGACCTCATTTATCTTCTCCCAGCTCCTCTGAAACTGGGCAGTGCCAGAGAATCGGGATGCATCTCGCAGAGCACACCCATGATGCACCAGCCGTGCGCGGCTCCATGCCTGCCCCACAGGTTAGGAGTCTGGAGATCATGAGCATTTTGCTGGACTTAAGTCTAAGTTTCCTACTTCTTGTGTCATTTATGACCTGTGCCCTTCCCTGTGAGCGGCAAAAATAGAACTGTACCAGTGCCTGAACTAAACGTAGCCCAGATTTTCACCTGAGACATCTAATGGGTAATATCATGATTAATATCTGGGTATTAAAGATAGCCGATTTCCTAGGATTTTTTTTTTTTCCAAATCAGGCTGGCTACAAGATGAAGTACCACAAATGCTATATATGCTCCACAAAAAAAAGGAAAATTCTCTGCTTTTGTGATCACTTAAAAGGTGATTTTTTTTAATGGTAACATTTTAATTTCCAAACTTCCCATGCACTGTAAGCAATTTTAATATTTAAACATTGACAAAATTGTGCTTTTTTGAACATGAAATGTAACAGGCAGTAGAATGTTACAACACTGATAATGATCTGGAACTATGATGTCAGCATAGCCCCATGTGGCTATTTAAATTAACTTAAAAAAAAAATGTATTCAGTTGCTCTGGCCACATTTCACATGGCTGCATTGTGGGTGGGTAGTGGCTATCCTGCCAGACTGTGCACGTATAGAAAGAACATTTCCATCTCAGAAACTTCGACTGCACGGTGCTCGCTTAGAAGATATCCCCACTCCTCAGCAGAGATTTTGATCACATAATAAAAAGTTTCTATCCCTGAGCTTTGTACACCTGAGAGCTATAAAGCATTCCTTTTGTTCCCCTGTCAGACCAGAGAAGCTACATCCGCCACATTTGAAAAACTAGTCTTCCAACTACAGAAACTACACAATACAGGGATGGGCGTGTTCAGCAGAGCCAGTTTAAAATTAATCCTTTTTTCCTACTACATTCCATTAAAAAACCAGATGTGTTCTTAAAGTAGAAGTTGTACTTTAAAAAATCTTTTAAGATAATTGTAATTTGCAGAAACCGTAGTTTTATTTCTAGATTTCTAAGTGATACTACTTCATCAACCTTAGGTGGGACCAGAGAATTTGTTTTATAACTTTCATTGTAGAAATTCCTTAGGAACTTTATCAGTGAAGAATTTTTGTTATGGTTACCTTTGATATGCAGAAAATATGTATTACGCAAATTACATATTGTAGTACATTTTGTTATTGAACATTAGCTTTTGTAAAGACAATATATTGTTAGTGTGTCCAGCAAATCCTCTAAAAAAAAGCATGGGTTGATTTCTAAGAGACTTAAGACGTAAGGTCATATGATTTTTATCCTTTGTTTTGTTAATGTGGTATATTACATTGATCGATTTGCACAAGTTGAACCATGTTTGTTCATCATTCCACCTAGTTTATAAGACTGTTCTGGAAATCTACCCGTCTACCCAATAAATTTAATTGGGGTGACATTGGTTAATAGGGTCATATAGGTTTCAAGTGAACATTTCTATACTTGATCTTAGCCAAAAGTCCGAGAAGCGATCAAATGAACATTTCTGTGATGCATGATTTGTATATTGCATTGTGTGCCCAGCACCCAAAGTCAAACCATCTTCCGTCACCATATATTTGGTCCCCTATATCCCCCTCCACTCACCCACCCTCTTCCCTCAGGTTACCATCATACTGTTGTCTGTGTCTGTGAGTTTCAGTTTTATATCACACATCAGTGAAATCCTATGGTTCTTAGCTTTTTCTGACCAATCTATTTCACTTAGCATGATATTTTCAGGGTCCATCCATGTTGTTGCAAACAGCAGTATTTCATCTTTTCTTATGGCTGAGTAGTATTCTGTTGCATATATGTACCACATCTTTATCCAGTCATCTACTGAAGGGCGCTTTGGTTGTCTCCATGTCTTGGCCACCATGAATAATGCTGCAGTGAACATGGAGATGCATATATCTCTGTGATGAATGGCTTCAAGTTTCTCGGGTAGATACCCTGGAGACGGATTGCTGAGTCATATGGTAACTCTGTTCTTAAATGTTTGAGAAACTGCTAGGCAGTTTTCCACAGTGACTGGAACAGTCTGCCTTCCCACCAACAGTGAATGAGAGTTCCTTCTTCTCCACATCCTCTCCAGCACTTGTTGCTATTTGTCTTGTTGATAATTGTCATTCTAACGGATATGAGGTGGTATCTCATTGTAGTTTTGACATGCACTTCCCTAACAGCTAGTGAAGTTGAGCATCTTTTCATATGTCTGTTGGTTATTTGTATGTCTTCTTGGGAGAGATGTCTCTTCAAGTCCTCTACCCATTTTTAATTGGATTGTTTGTTTGTTTGGTGTTAAGATGTATGAGTTCTTTACATATTTTGGATATTAACCCAAAATATGTGGGTGCCATTATTTGCAATATCATCTCCCATTCCATTGGTTGCTATTTTGTTTTGTTATCAGTTTCTTTTGCTGTGCAGAAGCTTTAGTTTAATATAGTCCTGTTCATTTATTACTGCCTTTACTTCCCTTGTCTTTCGCGTCAAATTCATAAAATGTTCTCTACAACCAAAGTCTCTAGTTTAGTACCTATGTTTTTTCCACGTAAGTCATTGTTTCAGATCTTATATAAGGTCTTTGATTCATTTTGAGTTAATTTTTGTACATGGGGACAAACCTGTAGTCTAGTTTTATTCTTTTGCATGTGGTTTTCCAATTTTCCTGGCAACATTTATTAAAGAGGCTTTCTTTTCTCCATTATGTGTTTTGGCTCCTTTGTCAGAAATTATTTGCCCATGTACATGTGGTTTTATTTCTGGGACCTCAATGCTATTCCAGTTTGTGTGTCTGATTTTTTGGCCAATACCATGCTGTCTTGATTGATATAGCCCTGTGGTATATTTGAAGTCAGGCAGTATGATAGATACCTTTGGCATTCTTTTTTTTCAGGATTACTTTGGCTTTGGGGGGTCCTTTGTGTCTCCATACAAATCTGATGATGTTTTTTCTATTTCTTTAAAAAATGTCTTTGAAATTTTGATGGGGATTGTATTAAATCTGTATATTGTTTTGGGTATTATAATATGGCCATTTTAACTATGTTTATTCTTCCAATCCATGAACACAGACTATCTCTCCCATTTTTTCAATTGCTTTTGATAATGTTTTATAGTTTTCAGAATATAGGTCCTTCACATCCTTTTTAAACAATGTTGATTCTTCTAATCCATGAACCGGGACTGTCTTTTCATTTTGTTGTGTCTTTTTCAATCTCTTTTAATAATGCTTTGTAGTTTTCAGTATATAGATCCTTCACATCCTTTATTAAGTTTATTCCTAGGTATTTTATTCTTTTTGTTGTGATTGCAAAAGGAATTTTTGCAATGAAACTTCTTTCTGAAGTTTCATTGTTAGTATATAGGAAAGAGATTTTTGTGCATTGATTTTGTATCATGCAATTTTATGGTATTTGTTTATTGTTTCTAACAGAATTTCAGCAGTCTTTAGGGTTTTCTATATACAGAATAATGTCATCTGCAAGAAGTGACACTTCTACTTCATCCTTCCTGATTTGGATGCCTTTTATTTCTTTCTCTTGCCTGATTTCTCTTGCTAGGACTTCCAGAACTATGTTGAATAAGAGTGTTGAGAGTGGGCATCCTTGTCTTGCTCCTGTTTTGAGAGGAAAAGTTTTCCATTTTTTACCACTGAGTATGAGATGAGCTAGAGGTTTGTCATATATAGCCTTCATTATGTAGAAGTATTTTCCTTGTATAACCATTTTGTTGAGTGTTTTCATTGTAAATGAATGTCATAGCTTAGTAACTTACCACATTCTTTTTCTGCATCTATTGATAAGGTCATGATTTTTATCCTTTGTTTTGTTAATGTGGTATATTACATTGATGGATTTTCATAAGTTGAACCATCTTCATTCATCCTGGAATGAACCCCACTTGACTGTGATGTGTTATTTTTTTCATGTATTGTTGTATTTGACTTGCTAGTACTTTGTTTAGGATTTTTGCTTCTGTATTCATTAGAGATATTGGTCTGTAGTTTTCTTTTTTGTGTGCTGTCCTTTCCAGGCTTTGGTATCAGAGTTATGTTGGCTTCATAAAATGTGTTAGGAAGTATTACCTCCTCTTCAATTTTTTGCTGAAGAATTTGAGAAGGCTAGGCATCAGGCCTTCTAGGAATGTTTGGTAGAATTCACTACTGAAGCCATCTGGTCCTGAACTTTTATTTTGGGGGAGATTTTTTGATGATTTTTCCAATCTCTTTATTGTTGATTGGCCTATTTAGATTTTCCAGTTCTTCATGATTGAGTCTAGGAAGTTTATATGTTCCTAGGAACTTAGCCAGTTCTTCTAGGTTATGGAATTTGGTGGCATATCATCTTTCATAGTGTTCTTGTAGGTTCCTTTGTATGTTTCTGATGTCTGTGATAACTACTCTTTCATTTCTGACTTTGTTTATATGAGGCTTTTCTAGTTAGAGGTTTGTCAATTTTATTAATCTTTTCCGGCTCTTTGTTGTATTAATTTTTTGTTCTCTATTTTATTCAATTATGCTCTAATTTTAATTATTTCTGCTGACTTTGGGTTGCTTTGTTCTTTGTTTTCAAGTTCTTTAAGATGTAATGTTAGGTTGTTTAATTGAGATTTTGCTTATTTCTTGAAATAGGCCTGTAATGATATAAACTTCCCTCTTGTTACTGCTTTTGCTGCATCCCAGAAGTTTTGACATGTATTGTCATTCTCATTTGTCTTTACGTATATTTTGATCTTGCCTTTTATGTATTCGTTGGCCCAGTTGTCTCTTAGTGGTGTGTTATTTAAGCTCCATGTATTTGTGGGTTTCTTTACTTTCTTTTTGCTGCTGATTTCTAATTTCTTATAAAAATAACTGCCTCTAAATACAAAAAAAAATGTGAACTTCTGGTAAAGTGAAATACATTTATTGTATGTCAGTGAGATAGGTTTGCTTGTCTGTGTTACTGATAAATTCTTTAATTTTGCCTGAAGTATTAGCATAATTTTGTATAATCTGCAAACATTTTCATTAGCAAATAAAAGTACACTTATGCACATTGAAATCTGTCAAAACTTGACTGTGCGTTTAAAAGGATTGAATGATTAAAAATGCAGCTATGTTTTGCTTTGTGAGTGGCAAATTTTTGAAAATTATTATTATGAACTGTATTTGAAATGCATTCTTTATTTTTGTTTTTCCATCTCTCCAGTGAGCTTTTAAAACACAAGATTTTTAATACACTGTGTTAATTTGTGTTGTATCCATTGTTTTTTCTTGAATTATATCATCAGCTTCATAGGTTGTTTCATTTATTGAATTTGATGTTGCGTTTGAATTGGGAGCTTTGATTTTCCTATTTGAGCTGCCTGCAAATACACAAAACAAAATGAAATAATTATGTGAAATGATGACATAAAATTTGAATTTTTAACATTCTTGCTTAAAAAGTAAATTTTATAGCAATATGGAAAATATGATGTCCTGAAAACACTATGTGAATAAATGAGAATTGAATCATTTCAAAGTTGTTTTTGAGTATTTCCTCCTGAAAATCCAATAAGAAATGTTTAGTAACAGAAATAAGGTTTTTATTACCGTGCTTGCTTTTCTCCATGCTTCCGTGGAGATAAGTAAGCATTTGATGAGAAGGTCATGATTTCCGAGTTGTTTAATAAAAGTGTGACCGTCCTTATTCATAAAGCAAACAAAACTATACTGTAGCCAATCACAGTAATTTGCAACACTTTTAAGGCTTTGCCATCATAGTCAATTTAGATGTGATTTTTTAAAAGGAACACACTTGTTCCACAATTTCATTTACTCAGTTGTAAATATAAGTCCAGAATGCACAAGAGTAGAGAACTTTACGGGGGCAAAATAATGTTCTGCTTCTGACCACCCAGTCATAATGTTTAGTCATTTAGTTTGATTTGTAAAAGCTAATTTGTTGAAGGCACAACATTTTCTGACATGACAAGTAGCCCTCTGCTCACACAGCAAGTAAAGCTGTTTAAGATAAATGTCGGAGAGGAAGCTGGCATGAAAATTTGATGACCTGGGGAAGTTCTTGACTGTTCCTTGCAAAGCACCCTTTAAAAAATCTTTGGTTCAAATTTAACTACTATTTAAACACTTAAATAACAGGATATATTCTATGTGAGGGCCCCTGAAATTATTTTCTTCTTGTAACATTTGTAAAACAGAATGTTTGTGGTTTATTTTTCATTTGTTTAGTAGTATTTGTGCCCTTCAGTATCATAGCAGGTAAAGATAAAAGATCAAAGTTTCGTATTATCTGGGTAGCATTTGTATCTTATGTAAGCATTTCTTTAAGCACCTACAATTGGAATGTTTTACCAGGATTTTTGGAAATCTGAAAAATAATGTGTAACTTGGGCCCTTTGTGTTCCCTAAACTTTTTACATGCTTAAATTAATAATATTTTAATTAGATTTACAAGGTGTTACTGTCTACCTTGTCACATACAGTTTTTGTTTTTGTCTTTTTTTATGATAAATAGGAAGTTATTTTCAGACTTCTCTTGGGGCTCTCTCTGACTAAGTCATCTACATCCTGACAGTCCCAGGTCCCATCACGGGTTTGTCTGGCAACAACAGCCATCTGAGATTTAAAGGCTCCCAAGTACCTGTCAATACTATAGATTTTTCTTCATTGAGGACTCGTGAAGCCCCCTTCCTCTGTCCCTGACTCATTGTTTCCTTGGCTACTGACTGGATTCTTCTAACTAGCATAGGTACAGCGATCATGTCTTAGATTGGCCTCTTAAGGTAAGGCAGTTCCCCTAACACAACCAATTTGTACACGAACAAGAAAAGATTTGTTGTAAACATTGTACTACCATTATTTGAAGCAGGAGCTTTGATTAGCAACACCCCTAATGTTCTCATCCTGCAGCTTATAAAATCCAAAGGTGCCTTCAGTGTATTTCCCTCTGTTAACTTAGAGTAATTGGACATGTGGAAAAACAGTTGTGATGAGTGGAGCTGTAGTGATAAGAGTCCAGCTGACTGCATCCTTTGGAAGGATTTTAAGGGAGAAAGAAGGAAAAGTCTACGTTGCTTTAATATATAGAAGCTAATTTCTTAACCAAGAAAATAGGGATGAAGCCAGCTGCCTCTTTTCCACCACAAAATTTCAATATGGATTCGATTTATATTGAGAAATCTGTAATTCTATTGAGCTCCCAAGGGATTTGTTCCACATAAAGGGTTTTTCTTATCTGATTCCTCCTCTTCACCTGAGTACAGACTGGGGGGCAGGGGAAGATCCAGCATCGCTGTGCTTTCCTGGGTTGACATTAGATGCTTTCTGCTGCTGGTTTCCCATTTTCCTTTTTTGTTTTTGTTTTTGATCTGGTCATATGTAAATCTCAACCTTCCTTTAATCCTATACTTCTTAGACTGGCATTTAAATTAAAGCTTTAACCTTTGCCAACATTTAAATCTAGTTCATCAAACGAATAAAATTCATCATTCAAATCACATCAAACAATCTCACCTATCCTCATCACAAACTAGGCCAATATATTTTTTTCTAATAAGAGTTAAAGTTTGCATTCATTCTCAGAACCATTCCTCGGGGATCCATTTCTCCTATAACTCTTTTATGAGCTTGGCTTTTTAAGAATTAAATTGGTTGGAGTAACATTGGTCAGTAACATTATATAAGTTTCAGGTGTACAATTCTATCTTACATCTTCTATAGACTGCTTTGTGTGCTCACCACCCAAACCCTAGTTTTCTTTCATCACCTTATATCTGACCCACTTTACCCTTTTCATCTTTCCCCCACTCCCCTTCCCCTCTGTTAACTACCATACTGTTGTCTGTGTCTGTGAGTTTTCGTTTGTTTCTTTCTGTTGGATGTCCCACATATGAGTGAAATAATTGTGTCTTTGTCCTTTTCTGTCTGACTTATTTCTACATAGCCTGATGATGCTCTGTAGATCCATATATGTTGTTCAGGGGGCCAGTATTTCATCCTTTCTTATGGCTGAGTAGTATTCCATTGTATGTATTTACATCTTTATATCAACCACGTATTGAAGGGCGTTTAGGTTGTTTTCATGTCTCGGCTACCGGGAGAAATGCTGCAGTGACCAGAGGAGGACATATATCTTTACAAATAGTTTTCAGATTTGGGGGGTAGATATTCAGAAGAGGGATTGTGGGGTCATATGGTAACTGTTGTTAATTTTTTGAGGGCTCTCCATCCTGTTTTCTCTATGGTCGAACCAGTTTACATGGCCGTCAACAGTGGATGAGGTTTCCTTTTTGGCTTCTTATTGATAATAACCATTCTAACTAGTATGTGGTATATTTTATGGGGGTTTTGATTTCATTTCCCTTATAGCTAGGAAAGTTGAGCATTTTTTAAAATGTATCTGTTGGATATCTGTATGCCTTCTTGGGAAAAGCATCATTTCTGGTTTTCTGCCCATTTTTAATTGGATTGTTTGTTTTGTTGTTGAGTTGTATGAGTTCTTTATATATTTTGGATATTAGCCCTTTATTGGATGTACCATTTGCAAATACCTGCTCTCAGTTGGTTCATTGTGGTTTTGTTTTATTGATGATTTCTTTTGCTATATAGAAAATTTTTAGTGCAGTGTAGTTCAATTCATTTATTTTTGCTTTTACTTGCCTTGCCTTTAGGGACAAGTTTACAAAAACCTCTCTGAGACCAAGGTCCTTAAGTTTAGTACCTGTGTTTCCTTTTATGTATTTTATTGTTTATGAACACTGCTCTTGCCTGCCATTTCAAAATAGTAAAAAAATAAATGAACGAATGCTGGGTACCTCTGCCAGTCTTCATCTCCTGGCTGGCTGGCAGAAGGGTAATTAAACTCCTCTGCCATTGTCTGCCTGTCCTCTGGCATCTGCGTAGCATGCTGCAGTCCCATATACGGCTGCTTCTCATTACTCATCAGCTGACTCACTTCATTACTGACTAGAAAATCTATACACCCCACTCCTCCCATAGTACTTTCTAGTGGAAACAAACAGTCTTAAGTTTGTACCCTAAAAAATTTTTTTTATTTACAAGAGGGTGGTCCCCTCTCAAGTTTAATACAATGCACAGACCTGGATGTGAAGTAAATGGTGAAATGAGCAGAACTATTGACTTCTTCGTTTCAACACTCTACCTCCCCATCAAGGATATACAGGTGTCTCTTGTAAACAGTAGTTAAAAACTCATTGTGAGAGTTCAAATATTAGGCTTGCCCTTTTGCTTTGTCCATTTGTCAATGAGTAAAGGCAGTTTTATCTGGAAATGGTTTCCTACCCTATTTTATTCCATAATTGGGCTTTTGTTCTTTACATTTTCTGCATTGTTAATTTTTTTCATCCATTGATGATTAACATAACTAGCAAAAGAATCCAGCTAATGTTTTAAGTCCTTTAAGTGAGTTTTCACAGTACAAGACGGGCGTCTATTTTGCTTGTTTGTTCCAAGCCAGGGCCAACTAATGCTGTGCCCCGAGGAGGACTCACAAATGCTAAATGCAGCAGTGGCTCTGCTGAGCCATTTGATTTTCTACATTTTAGGCACAAAAACACCATAGGAAATTCCAGGCTCATTATTTTCAGTAGAAAGCTCCCTTTAGGAGACACAAGTGGCCTTTTCTGCCATTAAGTTCAAATTAGTCCATCTTCTAAGATCTTAATGCATTCTTAAAACCTTTCTGAAACAAAGAATGGTATTACAGAATAATTTGGCAGCCTAATTAGTGAGTTTTAAGCAAAGTTTTGTTTAAAGTTTTGTTGGAGATGTGTTAAGCCCACTAAGAAAAATAGTTCAGAAAGTTGTGTGCAAGTGGGGTACAAAAACCATCAAAATACCACTTGGTTTTTTTAAATTTTGACTGTGTCATTCATAAGCTTATTTGGAAATCTGCCCTTACAAGAGTAGCCAAGAAATTCTGAAAAGGAAGCATGATGGGAGAGAAGAGAAAGTCTTGCCTAATCAGATATTAAACTCTATAGCTACAATGATTTTAAAAGTACATTACTAGCTTAAGAATAAGCAGACCGATAAATTTGAAAGAACAGAAAATCTAAAAACAGATCCCTGTATATATAAGAATTTAGTTTATGACAAAGGTGATATTTTAAATTGGCAAAAGAAAGATGGCTTTTCCGATAAACATGTGGATAGTTGGCTTCTTATTTGCAAAATAAAAATGAAGGCAAAAATCTCTACCTCATACTTTAACCAAAGTTACAATTCCAAGTTTATCAAATATATAAATGTTAAAAACAAATGAATAAATGTATTTGAAGAAAAAGTAGGTGAATATTTTATATCTCATAGTAAGGTGAGAAATTTCCAAGTATGTAGCTAA